TAGATTTCAAAATCTTTTCTAAAACTCTTAAATTCAGTAGATGCAGCATTCAACACTCCGCCTCCACTGCTTTATAGCTTAAAAGGCAGATGACAAGAGGGAGGGGGCCAACCTGACTTCTGAGGGCAGGGCATTCCAAGATTGTGTCATGCCTGATGTCATCCAGTGAGCTTGGCGGTTGGATTAGGGATTTGAATCCTTGGCTTCTTTTCTCAGTATCCAACTACATTTATGTGTACTCATAGGTGTCAATGTGTGGGATAATGGCTCAAATCCAAGATTTATTACAATAAAAGTTATTCGGGAAAAGTTGCAACTTAAATTCTATGATTATGGGAGGCATGTTAATTTTCATAACATAGACCACCATGGGGTAGAAATTTCAGAGCTGTATAGGGAATTAAATTGCAAATGGAATATACCGTAAGAAGTGTTATAACAGCATGGTGGATGCAAATTGGTCTGTCTGGTTTTGTAGTGGTGCTTGACAACTTGGTATAAATGTTACTTCCATCTTTCTGCTCTCTTGAAATCTTTGTTTTAGTTGATAGACTTTCAAAGTCACACTATACCTAAATTTAGTGAATGCTGTAATCTTTTAAAAATAACTGTTTGTTGTCTTAATATATGGAGCTTAATTTCTTTATTCTGATGAAAGAGAAGACAGTTTCTTTACACAGATACAAAGAAACAGTGGTAGCTTTCTTGCCATTAGAATTTTTGTTGTATCAAAATTGGTGACTCCCCATGGATGCTTGTGAAAGAGGGTCTGCTTTCTTGCCACATACCTGGCTTATTACTTGAAGAGTGGGCTCCTTGACACAAGAAATCTGCTCTTGTATACTCCTGTTGGAAAGAGATAATTACTGTGGTCCCCCTCCAGTTGGGTGTCCCTTCTCAAAAGGTCAGGTTCTCTTGGAAGGGACCAAGATTGCACTCACGTTCCAGTACCTAAGCCAAATGGCTCACCAAGCTATTTCAGTGGCTCCTGTTGCTGTGGCTGAGAAGTGGAGAAAGTTCAAGGTTGTACAGTGGACCCTCGACTTGCAGACAGCTCGACTTACAGACTTTTCAAGTTACAGACTTCTCTGGCTGCAAAATTTAGGTTCGACTTGAAGCTGGAGAATCGACCTACAGACCAGAAAAAAACCAAAATAGAACAAAAATGGAACAAAAATGGCCGGTTACGGGATTAATTGGTTTCCAATGCATCGTAGGTCAATGGAGACTCGACCTACAGACTTTTTGACCTGCAGCCACCATTCCAATACAGATTAATTCCATAAGTAGAGGGTCCACTGTATCAGCAATATAGACGGATGTTTTTGTCCATTTCAGTAAATGCTTATACAGCATGGTCTAAGGTACATCTTGAATTATATCTCTTACCCACATTGGAAAAGACTTGGTGAAGGCAGAGGAGGCTCTCGGGGCCAAAACTGCTATCTTCTAAAGAGCTAAAATCAACATCTTTCTTGGGAGCCTTTTGAGGGATGCCTTGCCATCTTTTATTGTAATAGATTAAGAAAGCAATGCTGCCACATGGGCGTATAGAAGGAGTACTTTCAGAATCACAGAATATAACCTGGATGATGTACATGGTTCATCCTTACTACAGGTTGCACATGCCCCCACCTGTGAATGATGGTGTCATTTATCTTGCTTTACTGCAGAGAGACTACCCAGAACATGTTTGTTTTAATGAGAGAACCATTAAAAGAGAAAGGAGTAGTATTGGAAATTAGCAATCAATAGTACCTGGACAGTCACACAGCTCACCTAAGCATAACCTTCAATGCTGTGGTTAGATACAGTGTATTACCACTTAAATTCATAAATCTGCATTGATATATGTATGCTGGTATATGTAGACTATATTCAAATCTGTGCACCTTTCTGTTCTTCTGTTGTATAATTAGTAATCCCAATATAGACCCAACTTTAGAGATAAAGGTAGAAAATTTTTGTTACCTAACCCTTCTACTCTACTTATATGTGTGAGATGTTATACATGGTAGCCACAGACCGAGCACTTTCATGGGAATTGACTTGTTATTCTCCTATTCAAAATAGGTTTGGTGAATGTAGTTGGTAACCAGCCTGAAAGTAGATGATGTAGGGAATTTG